GTCAAAGCACCACCAAGGTGAGATCCACCAAGGACGTAGTGAGTAAGTTTTGTTTCATGCCTTTTTAGGCAATATTCCAGCACTAAGACGGCGGCGCCAGTTGCGTCCCCGGGGAAGAACTAGCGAGCGAAGATGTAGGGAGGAAAGGGTATCAGTACCATCAACTAACGATTCAAACAGAGACGGGGTGACCACAATGAGGGTGTATAGATAATTTCACCATGGCACTGAGGGATGCTTGATTCTGATTGGTCAAAATCAATTCAAAATCAGGTTTCTAATCCTATTTAACATCTCACAATTAACACAAAAAACTTTCACATAAGGATATTTTGTCAACTTTGCAAGCTGAAAAAGAGATCACTCATCAGTCTATCCGGTAACAGCTACTTATACATGTTTATATAAAGCACATCCAGTCTATCGGATATTCAGATTTCAATGACATCTAAATCGGATTAGTTTAAGTACAAGATTACCGCAAGTAATTAATATAATGTAATGTTACTTGTGGAAGATGTTCCTGTCATTTGTTGTCATGTAATGAGATTACTAAAGATGCGGACATTAAACGCTATAATTAATTTTGAGCCAGGCGCGCATGCGCATTATATAGAAATAAAGGAGACCGATGAGACCCCGTCTCATGGAGATACTTTGATCTATGCATATAGATTCACAGTGAAAATTAACTCACCACAAGACTTTATGACTTTATGTGAGGGGTTTCACCGGTTGTACAGAATACGCTCACCTTTTCGCGATCCCCGGACATTATAGCGCCTTATTTGTTTTTAGTTTGAGAACGTTACATGGTGATGTGTAACAGTTGGAAAGATAAAACTTTTAAAAGAAACTTTATCTTTGTCTCACATATGTATAATGATTTGCCTACATATGAAATAAATCAATCATTATGATTTTAAAAAACCCAATATTCCGAACTGTAGATTATTACACTAAACATGTTGTGTTATTCGGCAACAATCAGGGTTACACGCTCTTTTCTAGACTGGTTCACCTGCCCTAGAGCGCTTGCGTTCCTCGCCTTCTGCCGCTGGGAGGCGAAGAGCAGGATCCCAGTCTAGCTCTCTCCGACTTGTTAACTTCCCCATACAGTATTTCGCTGCTGGAAACGTTGTCCCATTTCCGTGTAGCGAGTTCTGCCTGTCGAGAGGAGAATGTAGTAAGGGTTTTGTCGTTTTTACGTGTACCGTCATTCGTGACCAACACGTGTTAATCTTGGGAAGGCCAAATTGCCTTCTTGTACTTTTCGGAAAGATGTCAGCGGTGACGAGAGGTACACTGTATCACCAGTTTTGGTTAACTGAGAGTATTGGGGCGGGCTGTAAACAAAGCCAGTTTGTTTACAGTGCACGCATATTCTCGTTTGTTGTTCGGCAGCTTCGTTCAAAAGCTTGTTACAGTAGGTTTATTGGCTTTGATCATATAAAGATAGCTGCAGTTTATTGTTTGTGCATTTAACATTCTAAGAACGTGCTTAATGCTCAGGCAAACCAAACCAAACAAACTTGAACAGTTAACCGAAGCAGACAAACACAGCATGTGCACCTGCATGTATGCTTACTCAAATTAAAATTCATGATCTGGCCCGACAGGAATGGAAATTACAACAATTACAACTGTCACAAACCCCCACGTAAATGACGCTTTATGGTTGTCGTAATCCAGAATGCACTAGTTGACTGTTTTCATGGGCCAGTTTGCGAAAAGGTCGACCCATGTGATATCGGAATCGATTATTTGTATTAGTATTCTGTGACTACTTTCCTACCATAGTATATATGCATGTACTGTATACAAATTATATTTCAAAACGTGACAATGAAACAGGAGAATAAAACAATAGTTTGAAACTTTTCTTGTCATGACAAACATGGAAGTGCACGGGAAGCAACATGCCGGTGCAATGATGATGAGCCATGTCGTAACCATGGTGATATAGCGGATGCTGCCAAATACGTCACGCGATTGCAGCAGGACGACGGGAGATGATTGCGTAACGATTTTCTTTGCCGAACACCATCCGTCTAAATAATGCATACGTGTCGAATTTGGTGTTACTGAAAAAACCCGAATGCTACTTTTGAAACGAACATGAGACCGCTACGTATGCTTTATAGAACGGTTCATTTTTCCCCTCGTTGATAACGCATCATAATAAATATATGAAAAATATTCCATATAATTACGATTCCATGTGGGTACGGACGTTTAGACATTTTCTAGATTCGTCCGAAGTCATTTGCTTGGCTCTTATAGCTTTAGAGGCTGCAAGAACAATATATGTCGAGGTGTCTAGTAAATCTAAACTCGGTGACCTAATCATTTGCTGTGAAAAGTATTTTGAGTCATGGCGTTGACAGACTGACAATTTCTTGTATCTAAAATATGTGGCCATTTGTTAAAAGTTGAGTGGGATTGTTGATTTACATTGCAGTTAGCAATATGCTAGCGCGGTCTCTGCGGTCATGATAGAGCTAATGCATTGCAGACCAGTGATTGATAGCATGAGCATCAACCGGTGCCGTCGGGACACGATGTCACACAATGAACCTAGTGACGCGGTAGCCACCCAATCCTCATTAGTCGGGTACATAGGGTACAGCGGCCTGTTCTAGCCCGGAATCCAAACTGTGACTGTTATAAGAGGTGGGGCCGGAGTGAAAAACGGTTTAACGTCGCATTCAATAATATCGCTCTTATATAGGGATGTGCATGCGCGTGCGTGCGTTCGTGCATGTGTGCGCGTGCGTGCGTGCGTGCGTGTGTGTGTGTTTGTGTGTGTGTGTGTGTGATTGTACTAGTCCGGACTAATGCCGCAGTTTAACATGTCATTGAATACACCCATTCAGACAGAAGACTGACTCCACGCCGACCAGTCCTTGTTTTACCCCCTTAATGCCAAGCGCCAGGCAGGGTATCAACAAGTGCCATCTTCTGGGGCTCAGTCACACGTTCAGGATTTTTACTGCCGTCCTTGATAGGACCATTTCCGATTAAAATTTGTCAAAGTTTTGATCAAGATCAAATGCTTGTCGTAAGAGGCAACCAAGTGGATCGGTTGGTCAAATTCGACAATTTGGTTGATTGTGTGTCAACGTACCCCGAGTGCGTGGGATGTTTGTCTGGTGGGGGACTCGATTATGTACAGGTCATGTCGTTATTTAGCTGCGAGATTGCTGTGTGCGGCGTTAACAATAAATACGAAACAAACTAATATTTGCCCCGAGGATAACAAATATTTTATTTCACTCAGTGACATATCCTCTCACTATGTTGTTTTTTAACACGGAAGCAATGCGTGTGCAATGCGTAAAGTACATTTCTAGTGTCCCCCGCCACGATGTTGCTGTAAAATCTTAAAAGCGGCGTAAAACCATACTCACTCACACTCACTCCGTTAGTTTCTAATCCGTATGTATAAAATGGATGATTAACATTGTCTTTATTTGGTTTCGTTTGTCAATGATTCTTATTTTCAAGTTTTCACACCAAAATATTTCATCAACCCACAAATTTGAAATTATAAGATTTAAATGATTTGATGACTGCGTAAATAATCGTGACGTTTCTGTTTTGTTTACGCAAGAGACCGACACACAAAAACATCGGCGCTGAGTGACACCCTGGTAAATTACCTACACACGTATCCCGGTATTGTCAGGAATTATCATTTAGTAGCAAATCGCTGTCGTGCAGGTCTGGATTCCTGTGGCGGTTGTACTCCAATTTGTGTTGTTAACGTCACGCTGCAGGAGAAGTATGCTTCAGGTAATACACTTACTTGACCCATCACTTTGTTTAAGGTAATACATATGCTTGACCCATCACTATGTTTAAGGTAATACATATGCTTGACCCATCACTATGTTTAAGTAATATACATACATACTTGACCCATCACTATGTTCAAGGTAATATACATACTTGACCCATCACCATGTTTAAGGTAATACACTAACTTGACCCATCACTTTGTTTAAGGTAATATACATGCTTGACCCATCACTATATTTAAGTAATATACATACTTGACCCATCACCATGTTTAAGGTAATATATATGCTTGACCCATCACCATGTTTAAGGTAATATACATACTTGATCTATCACTATGTTCAAGGTAATATACATACTTGTTCTATCACTATGTTTAAGGTAATAAACATACTTGACCCATCATTATGTTTAAGGTAATATACATACTTGACCCATCACTATGTTTAAGGTAATATACATACTTGACCCATCACTATATTTAAGGTAATATACATACTTGATCCTTCATATACTTCGGGTAATGTACACACATCTACCACGAGACTCGCGCCTGCTTCAGACGGTGGGGTCGTAACGACATGCTGCGAAAATAGGTGACCGAGAGAGGAAATAGACGTCAGATGAGAAGAATAGAAAAAGAAGTAGGTCGATCCTCCTCACGAGATCAGTAGAACGTAAAAATGGATAAGAGATCTGTGGCATCCCAATTCGCTATGCAGAGTCCATTAGCTGTCAATATATGCGCTGGTTCGAATCCCAGATTCCATACGGGGGTCTGAGAAGTAATCTGCTCGCGTGGGTTTTGTGAAAGGGATAAACGTCCATAACCCTTGTCGTACTCATTAAGTGGTCGGTCGGACTCCTTGGGTGCATCCGTTATGCTAAAAGTGACATTGAACCTCAAACCGCTCACTCGCGGTGACTGTATTGGATTCAGTGATGGAGAAATCGCTCTCATCACGCTACTCAGCGCCTCATCATCAACAGTTGCTTCAGCATCACGCAAGCCAATCACACAACTCCCCTCCTTAAACACGTTCACTTTGCTTAAGATCACAGCCTATCACGTAGAGGAATATCAGCTGTCCGAGGAACCCTACTCCGACATGCAACATCGTCAATAGGCGTCCAATTTTAACAACAAAAAGATCTACCTGTAAACAACAACACCCTACAAGTCCCTCAACCCCGAACTGATGAACACAACATCCTACCAGTCCCTCAACCCCGAACTGCTGAGCACAACACCCAACCAGCCCCTCAACCCCGAACTGCTGAACACAACACCCAACCAGCCCCTCGACCCTGAACTGCTGAACACAACACCTACCAGTCCCTCAACCCCGAACTGCTGAGCACAACACCCAACCAGCCCCTCGACCCGGAACTGCTGAACATAACACCTACCAGTCCCTCAACCCCGAACTGCTGAACACACCACCCAACCAGCCCCTCAACCCGAACTGCTGAACACACCACCCAACCAGCCCCTCAACCCGAACTGCTGAACACAACACCCAGCCAGCCCCTCAACCCCGAACCGCTGAACATAACACCTACCAGCCCCTCAACCCGAACTGCTGAACACAACACCCAGCCAGCCCCTCAACCCCGAACTGCTGAACATAACACCTACCAGTCCCTCAACCCCGAACTGCTGAACACACCACCCAACCAGCCCCTCAACCCGAACTGCTGAACACAACACCCAACCAGCCCCTCAACCCGAACTGCTGAACACAACACCCAACCAGCCCCTCAACCCCGAACTGCTGAACACACCACCCAACCAGCCCCTCAACCCGAACTGCTGAGCACACCACCCAACCAGCCCCTCAACCCGAACTGCTGAACACACCACCCAACCAGCCCCTCAACCCGAACTGCTGAACACAACACACAACCAGCCCCTCAACCCCGAACTGCTGAACACAACACCTACCAGTCCCTCAACCCCGAACTGCTGAACATAACACCTACCAGTCCCTCAACCCCGAACTGCTGAACACAACACCTAACAGTCCCTCAACCCCGAACTGCTGAACATAACACCTACCAGTCCCTCAACCCGGAACTGCTGAGCACACCACCCAACCAGCCCTTCAACCCGAACTGCTGAACACAACACCCAACCAGTCCCTCAACCCCGAACTGCTGAACACAACACCTAACAGTCCCTCAACCCCGAACTGCTGAACATAACACCCAACCAGTCCCTCAACCCCGAACTGCTGAACATAACACCTACCAGTCCCTCAACCCCGAACTGCTGAGCACAACACCCAGCCAGCCCCTCGACCCGGAACTGCTGAACACAACACCTACCAGTCCCTCAACCCCGAACTGCTGAACACAACACCTACCAGTCCCTCAACCCCGAACTGCTGAACACAACACCTACCAGTCCCTCAACCCCGAACTGCTGAGCACAACACCCAGCCAGCCCCTCGACCCGGAACTGCTGAACATAACACCTACCAGTCCCTCAACCCCGAACTGCTGAGCACAACACCCAACCAGCCCTTCGACCCGGAACTGCTGAACACAACACCTACCAGTCCCTCAACCCCGAACTGCTCAGCACAACACCCAGCCAGCTCCTCAACCCGAACTGCTGAGCACAACACCCTACCAGTCCCTCAACCCCGAACTGCTGAACATAACACCTACCTGTCCCTCAACCCCGAACTGCTGAGCACAACACCCAACCAGCCCTTCGACCCGGAACTGCTGAACACAACACCTACCAGTCCCTCAACCCCGAACTGCTGAGCACAACACCCTACCAGTCCCTCAACCCCGAACTGCTGAACATAACACCTACCAGTCCCTCAACCCCGAACTGCTGAGCACAACACCCAGCCAGCTCCTCAACCCCCAACTGCTGAACACAACGCCCAACCAGCCCCTCAACCCCGAACTGCTGAACACAACACCCTACCAGTCCCTCAGCCACGTCTTTCCACAAACACAACCACAGCAACCTACCAGTGTCTCAACCAATTCATCTCTCTAACCGCCAATCCCTCAAGACCGCCTCCGTGTTCTTATGGTAGAGCGTCCGCCCGGAGAGCGGAAGGTCTGGGGTTCGATCCTCGGCCGCGTCATACCAAAAGACGTTAAAAGATGGTACTTGTTGTTACCATGTCCAGCGCTTGGCATTAAGGGGCTAAAACAAGGACTGGTCGGCTCGGAGTCAGTATACTGTGTCTGAGTGGGGTATTCCTGTTAAACTGAGGTATGGTATCTCAGTGAGCTAGCACTATCAATCGGCATCAGTCCGGACCAGTACAGGCAGCCATACACACACACGTACAGCACGTCGCTATATAAGTGCAATAATCTTGGACGCGACGTTAACCCAATTCCACCACCACCCCAATCCCTCAAGTCGAGTAACAAATGTAAATATAAGCGACAAACACATTTCCACGAGCATAAGAAATATATACTGAAGCCGAGTCCATTGTACGGTGATCGCAATAGCGATAAAGCGTAGAGACCTATCTGTTATCTCTTACTCTTTATTCCTATTTAAGAATTGTCATTTTTCAATTTGTTGCCAGTATATTTGGGTTATAAAAAATTGGCCAGTTATACTATACTTCTTAAGAACACCCTGACCCCCTTCACCATAATCACACCCAACCCCAATGTCAGGGTAACCCGAACCAGTCAAATATAATACAACACACACAAATAGGCCACCCCATCCCTAATCTCCTGTGTCAGTTATATGGATAATTAATAGGCAAAGCTTGCGCAGTACTTGTAAAATCTTTATGACCTTTACCGATACAACATGTCTCGGCATACACTACAGTGTGTAAGTTCACAATCTGCATTACAGCGCAAGATAGGTCATGCCCCTGTGGAAGAAGCAACACCTCTTGAACAGGACACCAGGTGCCCCGAATAGTTACTTAAGCCAACTACACAGCTTCAGAGACAGGCTGACATCGGTTCCAGTATCACGGGATCCCGTTAATGGAAAACAACTCACCATTGGTACGAGCAAATATCACAGATCAAGGAAGAGAATGTTAACAGTAGTTAATGTCAGAAGTTACAAGATATGTGAAAACTACCCTTTCCTCTGTGGAACATCAGGAACAAAGGCTGCCAGAGACTTGCATTTCTGACATCACGCCCACGTATACGAGAAGGGAGATATGTTTTATTGTTTAATAGATAAAATGCCTCTACTATGATCGATATATACACAACGTCTGGCTTGTTTGTGTGTCGTGTGCAGTATCCTCAATAGATTTGTCACGTGGTCTCTCTTTCTATTACGTTTTTGTAAATTTATTTGGCATTTGTATTAAAGTACATTGCTAAGTATAACAAAGACTTCAATTAAGTTATGTAGAGACGGCTGTATTGCGAAATATCCTCTCAATGGAAAGTGTAGTTTTTATTATCGGAGTTAATTAAAGACGAAAGATGCTTGGTTAATGGTAACAGCTATTTTCGACAATGGAATTTGTATGTTTTAATGTCAGAGCATATGAGAAAAGGGAATGATAGTATTGTCAATATGATCTCTCCGTATATTAATCCCCGACGCGTCTCATGTTGCGTGGACAACTCACCCTGAACATGGATGTTTTAATCAAATCTCCTTCACCCCTTTGACATTTTTGTCTGTTAATTCAAAAAAAACAAAAAAAGTTCGATTCGATAAAATTTCCCAAACCGATTTACTTTTCTTTCCAATCCAATTTCTTTGTTTAATAATAGATGTCAATTCTTCCCAAGCCTCCAATGAGGTATAAAGTATTTATTTTGAACATCAAACGCTGTCAATGCAACTGACTCTCGGTGAGGTCTCGCCTGGGGCAGACTCTACCGGTCAACCTTCTAAGCTAAGGGCAGATAATTTGATAACACCTTCTATTTCCAGCTACTCATGCACAGTAATATGTTCTATGGTATTAAACATTGACAGTTCAGCCCATCTAGGTGTGTACGGCTTCTGGACTAGTGTCTTGTCGCACTGCGAAAAAGCGCTAGAGCTGTGTGTGTGTGTGTGTGTCGAGGTTAGAGATGGTTTGTTTTGCACATGTTAAAAATGACAGGGGCGGTCCTCTAGCCTAGTGGTTAAAGCGTTTGCTCGTCACGCCGAAGACCCGGGATCCATTAACGACATGGGTACAATGTGTGAAGCCCATTTCTGGTGTCCCCCGCCGTGATATTGCTGGAATATTGCTAAAAGCGGCGTAAAACCATACCCACTCACTCAAAAATGACAACAACGTCCCTGAGAACATTCGAATTGACAATTCAATCAGTCAAAATGTCGTCCATCCGCCCTCACTCCCGCCCCATCTGTCCATCTGTCTGTTCGTCCATCCATATATTTACCCATCCATGCTAATATTCACAATCGTCTACATTTGATCCAACTTACCTCCCGTCAAGCAATCCGTCAAGCGTTCAATCAATCAAACATGTTTATTCACACATCTTTTTCAGACAACGTTATACAATCAGGGACGTATTTTTGGCTTAGATGCTCATTTATTTCGCACCTTTCTTCCGTTTCCATCTGTATTTAGCTCCGGTTAGCCCCGAGGGATATTGGTGAAGAAATAGCTCGGCGTGTGAGTTTAACAAATCTACGTGGAATGCAGTGATACCCAAACCAGACATATCTAGAAACCTACTGACGTCTTTGTCCCTGGCAAAGTCGCACTGCATAGTTACCGAAATAACACGGGGAAAAAACTGTGCATCTTGTAAATCAAATAAAATCCCCCCAATGATAGAACTTGAGCTGTATTTAGGAAAGTGGCGAGAAAGTCTGATGTGTATATGTGGTATAAGGGTTTATTTACCTACCCATTGTCTTTGATGTGTTTGTAGGAGATACAATCACAACTTCGCCATCACATTTATCACAAAACCTCAGTGCTGTGCGGCACCATACCTGTGCTCGTTAGTTTCAAATGACAAGGGCTTCAGTCCTGCATCACAATAGGTTTGTTTGCTTGTTGTTTACGCCGCACTCAGCAATGTACCATTTATTTGAGGACGGTCTGTAAATTATTTTTTTAGGGTGATCATTAATGTCCCAACCCTCCTATCCTGCAAGTCTAGTAACATATACAGTAAACTACGGTTATAACGAACTCAAAGGGACCACTAATTTTAGTTCCTAATAACCATAGTTCGTTATAGGCATATATACAGCATTTATACAACAAATGGTCGGGACTGAAAAATAAGTTCGTTATATCAGTCAGTTCGTTATAAACGTACTTTACTGTATATGTAAACAGAAGCGACAAACTCTATAATCCTAACAAATTTCTGCTGAAGTCAAGTCCAGTTTATGGTGTTCACACTAGCGATAAAACGTAGAAACTCTCTGTTATCTCTTACTCTTTCGTACTTAACAATTTTCAATTTGAATTTTGAGACCAGTATTGGAGGAAAATGGATGGGATTTGTTATCAAATTAAAAGAAACAACAAAATCGGTTTTGAAACAGTTACTGCAATCAACACGAATGTCACTGACCAACTTTTACAAATATGGAAACGTCATAGAACAAACCACATGACGTCACTATTCAACGTGACGTCACCTGTCCCTATCCTATGACGTCACCTAACAACAGGCATGATTATGGCCCGCCGTCAAGCAAAATGAGGGCATTATCAAGTTACTGTTTCCCGCTGGTTTCTGATAACATGCGGGCGGTTTAATGATAATTCTAACCATTTTGGCAATAATATTTACTTAATTCATACACTACACTGGACTAGACGAACCTGTGACTGATATCATGAACAATAATCCACACCGTCTGAGTAGGATGGCACGGAATGACCCCGAGTCTGACCACAAGATCCATAACGTTGAGTCTCACGACCTCCACAGCTTGGCGGAGATCTATTCTGACCCGGAATCCCTAGGGGACGTGTAACGTCATGCTCTCTACTCACATTAAAGATATTTTTTAGAACAATCTTTATTCCCCAACTGTATCCAAAAAAACTGTTTATATACTGAGTACCAATCTACTCATTTTCACTATTAATACATCATATTTTACATTTGGGTATTTACTTCCAAACAAATTGTAGATTTAAACACTCACTCTTCAGTTGTCTGGACAATACTGTCTTCATCTTTAACGACATATGATAGGATTGTCTAATCAGAATATACCTGATAACAGACGTTAGTATGACTAAAAGTGATGATTAGACGTCTAGACAGTGGTAGGACATTAGACCGTGGAGGCGGGGTCGCACATTGGATGACGGTGTTTGCTTTCCCGTCCACACAGGACGACAGGATTGATGGCGAGTTATTGCTGACGGAAGGGCTATTTCTTTTTGGGAAGAAATTTAAAAGATTCTGTTTCAGGGCAAAATGATTGAAACATATTCTCGAGTTTACATAAAATATATATTACCTCCCTTGTGACAATTTCGACAAACGCTTCGTCTCTGAAAATATATTATTTAGAGCTCCTGTTAGATGGGAGATTATGTGAGAAATCTAGATCTAGAAATCCCCAACTTGTATTTTCATGATTCAAATAAAACTGTTTTCTATAAAAAAAAATCCGGGGGGGGGGGGGGGCAACTGCATAAACTGTTATCGAGATTACGTAGACGAATCAGATCTCATCATTCGGACATGGAGGTGTAATAAACTAATCCGTTTTATCCCGCGACCAGGCAAATTAGAGGTTAATATCATGAGCAACGTTGCACGCCATAACCACAAAAGGCCGTGGGTGTACATAACAAGTA